GATCCCTCATTAATCTGGGCAGCACTTCACAGCCAGCCAGAGTGACTTTTGGCAGGTGCACAAAGGCAGGCAACGACACGCAGACCACCCCCCCCCAGCCAAAAAAATTACCATGCGCAGCCTTCCTCCAACTTTTGTCTCTGTGTGGCGGGGATGTGGATTAAGGAATTTCTCCCTCTGCCTTTGATGCAGTGTGTCCATCCATCCCCCCACGACCTCCCCAGCGTGTTCCCCCCCAGCTCTCCCTGTCTGTGTCCAGTTGGACCCCGTCGTCGTCTGCTTTCCCATCTGCTGCTGCACTTCTCTCCTGAGACATGGCACCCGCCCAGGGGCTTTCTCACCCACCATGGCAAATGCTGGATGTGTCCCCCGGCTGTCCAGCTCAGAAGTGCTGCAGGCAGATGTCGTATGTGCGGGGAGAGATGGATGCTGTTGCCTATGCCTTCTCTTTTTGTCTGCTGTCTAAAGAGGAGCTTAGGGCATCACGCTCCCAGGTTTGACAAGGAGGGTCCTCCAGGTCCTCAGGCCTCATCCCTGGGGGAACATCAGCCCCCAGCGAAGGCACAGCCTTGACCCCGTGGTGTCTGCGACATCCCATCTGCTAACACTCAGCCGCAGGCTGGCTGCGGCTGGGGAGAGGCGGGAATCGCTCCCAAGGGAGCCAGTGTTACCTCGGCAATGATTGCTGCGGGGCTCAGGGAGCAGCCAGGGGGGCTCCGAGGATGCTGAAAGACCTAGAGAGATGCACGCACCAGCCAGATAACCCCAGCATCTTTGCGAGCCCTGTGCTCATTCCCTGCTTCCAAGGCACACCTGGCCCAGCACAGGCCAGGCTGGGAGAAACAGGCTTGCAGGGGGTTGGCAGCTCACCCAGCAAGGTTTCATTTAATTTAATTGTCATTAGGAATTAATTGAGCCTGATCGCCTTGTCATTGCTGTACAAACTGATGGATGCCACCAAACAGCTCTGGGCTGATCCCATCGAGGCAAGCAGCACACTTGTGAGCAGTGACCTGGGCCAGTGGCAGAGGTGTGAATCCCAGGGTCTGGTGGCAGGGACAGCCTCACCCAGCCACAAAGCTGCATGGAGGTGCCCTGCCGAGTGCAGTGCTTTGCACGGTCCAGGTGATTCGCAACCTGGTGGGTCTCCTGTCCTGCCTACCCGTCCCTGGGTGCCTGGGCCATGAAGGTGTGTCTGAAGAGGGCGCAGAAGTTTTCTCCTCAGCTCTGCTGTGTGCTGCAGTGGGTGCCAAGAGCCTGTCAGCTCTGAGGACCCTGATCCAGTGTGGGTTTTGGTCCTGGGCTGAGGGCAGCTGGAGCTTGGTGGGATTGGTGGGATGGGTCTCAGCCAAGATCCCCGGTGGGTTGGAGGATGCAAAGCCGTGTACTGCAGGAGGAACTGGCATCCTCCTCGTCTTCTTTTCCCCATCCTCCCTTCTGCCCAGACGTCACAGGATTTCAGTTTTCACCTATCCCAGAAGTGAAACCATACAAAACCGTCTTCCTGCAGTATGAGATGTGCCCAGGCTTAGAGCAGCCAACCCCCTGGTATAGACTGTGCTGGGGACCTGCGAGCTGCCAAACAGGACTGCTCTAAGCCTGACCCCATTATCTGAACAAGAGGCAGCACCTGTGACCCCAGGGTTGGATCTCAGCCTCTTTGGTGTGCTGGAAACTCAGAGAGACCCTTCATGGAGTCCCATAGGGGTCACTGGGCTCATCTGTCTCCCGTGCTAGGCTCCCTGCAGCCAGGCTCTGACCTCAGACCCCCTTGGGAGGCACCCCCAGTAGCTGCCCCCGAATCAACGGGTCAGACCCGATGGTGAGACCTGTGGCACGGTGGGAAGCTGTCCACTGGATGGTAGGGATGGACTCAGGAACCATTTGTCCCAGTGCTATGACTGATGGTGGTTTAGGGCTTACGCATGTCTCAACTTGGCGTAAGCCCTGCAGTGAACTCACCAGCATCCCCTGCTTGCATCCCACCAGTGCCATGGGTGTCAGCCCCGAGTCCATGGTGCAAGGAGAGGCAGGACTTGGCCTCCCCCCATCCAGTCCCAAAATCTGCAGCAATGAGACGGACACATGCCTTTCTCTGCACTGCTCCCCTGCTGAGGTCTGGTAGCAGCTTTGTGCGTCACGGGAGGCAGGAGGCCCTTTGGTCCCCAACGGCTGGTGGGGGGACCAGCCGGGCCTGCCTCCAGATGTGCTCCAGATGTGGGGCTCCTACGGGCTTGGGCCGGGCAGCATGAGCAGCTGGGAGCGCAGAGCCCAATGGTCCTGCCAAGCCAGGCGGCAGGCTGGACGCAGCCCTGGGAGAGGCAGTAGGGAAGGAAATGCTCTCACCTGCAGCAAGAAGGCAGAAGTGCCCCACTCCCTGGCACGGATCCCCCAGAGCAACTGTAAAAGCTGGAGAGGGCTACAGTTTGCATGCTAAACAGATTAAATCTGTGTTGGGGTGTTGTGTGTGGTGTACTCGGGGGACTGGAAAAGGGCTGGGTCTTTCTCAGGGTGGGTTCCTCCTTTTCAGGTACCCCTGCAAGCAGTGAGGTGATGAGGTTAACCATGCTGGCTGGGCCATCACACGCATCCCTGGTGTGCACACCATCCCTGCATGTGTAAAGTTGCAGTGCCAGGGCAGCCTCATCCCACAGGTGGATTGGCCCAGGAACCCCAGGTCACCCCAAGAGTGCAGCCTTTCTTTCTTTGGCTTTGAGATGTGATGAAGAACCAGGCAGAAGTTCTCAGCTCCTATCATTGAACTGAATTCTTCACAAAACTCAGGTGTTGCTGCTCCCTGGGGCAGTGGGATCCTGTGCCTGACCTTCTCCTGGGTGGCTGGGAAGACGTGGAGGACCTCACATGGGTTGTTCCATGAAGTTCCCCCAACCCATGAAGTGCTGCTTGTTCTGCTCAAGCATGAGCCCCTGGCTGGACCCTGGCACTCACAGACAGGCTGCATCAGACCTGCACCATCCCCCCAGCATCTTTATTATCAACATGTGTCTGGAGAGAAGGTGGTTTGTGTAGCACTGGGGAAGGACAAGGGGTGCCCCACGTTCCCCCCATGCCACCCACTGGCAGCGCAGGGGGAGAATGAACCTGGCAGCGTGTTGGTCCTCAGCCTCAGAGACTGGGTGGAGGGCAATGTCCCACACAGCCTCTGTGAGATGCTCCTGCCCTGGTCCCTCTCTGTGCCCTCGGGACCCTGACGCCAAGCCTGGCTCTATCCCTGGAAGGTCACTCGCATGCTGAGCCCTCCTCCTCTGCCAGCCAAGTGTGTTTGCCCACGGGTGGCCACGTGACGGGGGTGCATTTCTGCTGAGCAGCTGCATCCCACTGTCCTTAAGCCAAACTCCGAGTGGATCAGAGATCCTCAGAGATCCCTGGAAGGTGTGGACACAGTCTGGGGTCACACCATTGCAGCAGCAGCTGCATCCTCAGGAGAACGGCAGGACCTCCTGTGGCCCAGGCAGCAGTGACAACAGGACAGAAGGAATTTTTCTAGGAAAGACAGTCAGACACGGCTTGATCCCTCTCCGAGGGCCCATCCTGAGGAATGCAAGGCAAGCTGGTGGCACGCCAGCAGGCACGGCAGGAGTGTGGCCAGGGGTGCGCTGGTGGGGAAGCGTCACTGATGATGCTCAGACGGCGTCTGTCTGCACACCCCAGCCAGCTGCCCGCACATCTGCAGGTTTCTGGTGACCTCTAGAGGAAGCTGCTCCGGCACCGCGAGTTTGGGAGCGGGACGGGTTCTCACCAGATCCTTGACATCTGCGTCTACCCCTGCGTCCCTGTGCCGGGCTCATGCCTCTGCCCAAAACCCCGCAGCGCTTCCCGAAGTGCTGCGAAAGTCTCGTTATTGTCCTCTAGCCATGCTAAACACACTGATTTTCTTACACCTCCCGGTGCCGTGGGTTGCTCTGACTGCCCTCCCCTCTCCACCCCTGTCCTCAGGTCGAGCTGTCGGACGGGACATCGCACACCATCACGGATGCCTATGCTGGTAAGGAGTACATCATCCAGGTGGCGGCCAAAGACAACGACATCGGCACGTGGAGCGACTGGAGCGTGGCTGTCCATGCCACCCCTTGGACAGAAGAGCCTAAGCATCTCACCACAGAGGCCCAGGTCACAGGTGAGATCTCTCTCCCATTACAAACAGGCTGTGCCCACAGCAGGGAGAAACCTAGGAGTCCTCCCTGTCCAGCTCCGTGCAAGTTTCGTCCCCAGCCAAGGAGATTCCCCCAGCACCTGGAGGGGCTTCAGCCCTTGACCCTACACTTTGCCCCCACCCATGGCCCTAGTGGGTGCAACTGTGGCCCAAGGGGTGCTGACTCAGCTCATCTGGCTCCGGCATCCTCCTCACCAGGATGCTTGGGGTGTGACAATGAAGCTGAGGAATGTTTAGTATTAGTATTCATACTCATATTCATTTTAGTATAGTATTAGTGTTAGTATTAGTATTTTTTAATATTAATAT